AGAAGCGCTTGTTGGGAGGCAACCCAACCAGTCGGTTTGCATTTCTTTCTCTATTTCTCCTCGGTTGAGTCAGTCTTGTTATTTGATTTTAGAGTCAATAACTCAACCTTTGTGAGATTTTGTGTGGTGTTTGTGTTCTGATTACTCTCTCTTTCTGGAATGCACCGCCTGACCCGTTCATCATCATTCACCCTTGATCTGGTAACTTCGTTCTACCCTCTTTATCTTTCCTCCATTGAGGACAATGTCGTGCTTAAGTGTGGGGGGATGTTCGATTATTTATGCGGGTGAATGTTTGGCTGTTTGTGTGCTTGGAGCCTAGTCCACTGTCCAAATTTTTAAATTTGAGGGCTCCAAGTACGTGTTTCCTTGCAATTGCCTGCTCAGTATGCTTTGAATTGACAGTCTTTACAGTAATATGCAACCTAGGGAGGTAGTGTAGCACTATGGAGGATGTTGATGCATTTAAGAAGTCTCATTTCTTCTTCATATCGAGTTGGGTGATTGAGTGAATTAGTGATCTTAGGACCCTTGAATTGTGTGGTGTTGTGGATTCTCTGCCTGTCATGGACTCTTGTTTCATGTTTTGAGTTTAACAGGTGCTCGAAAATGTGCTTTAAAATAACGTCTCCCGTGCGAATAGGGCGAAAGTGTGTAAGGGGAGACGGGAATCCGTTCCCAATTTCCACCTACTACCTCCAGCCCCCTTACATGTCTTTCCCCCGCACGAGGCTCGAGACATCCGCTCTTGGCATGGCCGGTAAGAGCAGGTTGGGACCCTTGAAAAAGAAAAAAAGAAAAGAAAAATAACAGAAAACAAGCAAAATAGAAAGAAAAGGGGTCCCAACCATCTTCAAAGAAAATCGAGCACCTTGAAAAAATGTGAGTCCATGATCCTTTGTTTTTGAGAATCTCTTCATCCACAATTCATTTGTTCTCTGTTCACTTTTTGCCATGATGCCGACTCGATAAGAAGCTTTGAGATGACTTGTGCGTCGGTTGACCTCGTAAGCTGCTCAATGACCTAGGAAGTCCTCTACCTACGATCTGGGTTGTTTGTTGCTATAGAGGTCTGGAGAGTTGCATTGGTTTGAGTTAGGTTTGCTTGAGGACAAGCAAACGGTTAAGTGTGGGGGAGTTTGATAGACCGTTAATTACACATGTTTTTACCCCTGTTCTTACACCGTTTGAGATGTGATTTCTCGTGGTTTAGACCGATTTCACGCTAGGTTGTGCTTGTTTGTGATGTTTCAGGTCCTAGTACGTGAATGAAGGCTTAGGAACGAGTCTGGGGTCGATTGGACGAAGAACGGACGAATGGCGAGGTTTTTGGGGAGCTGCACGGGCAGACCAGCGAGGCTGCACGGCCGTGCACGTGAGCAATATGGCCGTGCGCCTTATGCCGAGGACACGCACGGGCAACCCCTGAAGCTCGCACGGCCGTGCACCCTGGCCGTGCGAGAGGGCTGAAATTCGACTAAATGACACGCTGCGTTTTGAGTTGCACGGCCAGAATGGTGATATGCACGGCCGTGCACCCTGGCCGTGCGAGTCGGGATTTCCTGGTTTTAAGCCAAATTCCGAACCAAAGAAGAGGGAGAGCTGGGTTTTGGATCCCAAACACCCAAGGGACGAACCCTAGAGAGAGAGGGCGATTTGAGGGCATTCTTGGAGTAGAGAAGGAGGATTTCTTCGCCTTGGAAGCTCGAGGAACAAGCCCGGACTTGAAGACTGATCATCTGAAGATTCTTACTGCAGTCTCTCTCTTCTCTATGGAGTAACTTCCCTTCACTTAGGTTTTGAGGAACCCTAGCTATGTTTGTTTGATTGGATGATTGTATGAGTACTCTGACTTGATAATCTTGAGTTCATATTCAATCTATGCATGTTTTCATGATTCAATTCTGCTTTAGTCGAGATTATTGATTCTGCTTTGATTCTATGAGAGGGAATACCTGATTAGGTCAATAGAGCACCATAGATTGATAGTAGTGGATCGATTGCTTTAGTCGAGGGTTGATTCACTGCTTTGTATCGATTGAGAACCTCTTTCGATAGAGGGAGTCTAGTTCAGAACGCCTTGATCAGTTGTTCTAGAGAAGGATACGTCCCTCTAGGCAATTGACTCAAGAGGGCCTTGTTCCTTTAGTCGAGACTCAAGGTCTAGTCAAGGATTCTCCGCATTGTGAATGAAAGTGAAATAGGTTAGAGATCATCAATCATTAATCTGGCTAGTGGCTAGGGGGAATCATACCTAAGTGAGTTCCCAACCTGTAATTAGATTAACTTTAACTGTAGTTTGCTAGAGTAGTTTTAGTTCTTTCATCTTAATCTGATTTGCTAAATAATAAACTGAAGCTGAGTAATAGTAACTCTAGAGACCCGTGGATTCGATATTTATCACTTGAGCCACTATACTGCAGTCCCTTTCATTGGTTACACTTGGCCTTTGTTAGGTGTTGTGTTTTAGCGAGTCAGAAGTTGTTTTGCATTTTCCACAGAAGAATCCATCTTCTTCTTCTTGAACCAACTTGCGGCATTTTGGAAATGCACAGCCATTGTAAAACCAGTTGTGTTTGACCTTAGAAACGGTGCAATCCAATTCGAAAGTTCGCTGTGCAACATTCACGGGTAGTGGAGACAAATTTGATCAATTAAATGAATACAAATAGGTAAAGGAATTGATTAAGTTTGGATATGGGTTGCGTACTGACCTAGTCTTTCTTGCCAGATCTGAGTTGAGACAATTCTTCAATGGTAACAGTAGGGACAGCCTGAACTGACTCAAGATCAAGGAGCTGTAGTGCATCGTTCCGAGGAAGACTAACAGAAAATTTAATGATATTTAGGCCATAGAAAATATAATACACTTACGAACATAAGTAATTTTGGATTTATGTTTGCAATACTGTTTTTGTAAAGCAGCAACTTCTGGAATTTCCAGATTGGCATACAATCTAGTGGCACTCGATGATGATAAGTAGAATTCCTCTGCAAAGCATTCAGTTTAGAAAGTGAAAATGTTGTAAAATATAAAGGCAGACTTGAATGATGGACAATTTGGTGTTGAGAAGAACACCGGAGAATGGTTGCAGTGTATGAAAATAAACAAAAAAGGAATCAAAATTACGCCTTACTATTCCACGTTTTCACAAAGAGAGATGTAACCACGATAACAACAGACGAGTTTTCTGTTGGCCTAACAATACTATTCAGCTGAGCTATTACTCTTCCCCACTAGGAAACCTTGATGATGTGGCCACTGCATTTCACAATTTATGGGTATTCAGGTTGTGATGGAAAAAATAGCAGCATCATTTAGAACACACAAAAAACAGCGTGAAGAATTGATTGGGATAGGAAACTTTACTCTGACAACTTGATCATCATATCCCTGCGTGGATTCCTGTTTGAAGATGATTTTGGAATTTCAGTAGGTAAACATTTCACCAAGTGACCAGCAACGTCTGCAGCAAAGGGAATCAAGAAATTCATTTACAATATTAATGCCAAAAGGGGCAAACGGAATTAAACCAGTTAGTACTCAGCCATGAGATCCTGAATGCGATCATTAAGGCTAGGAAGATCCGATGTTCCAGAAATCTAAATTTGTAAGCAGGGGTTCCGGTAATGTCCTCAATTGGATGGACAGTAGTATCGTCAGTGAAGTCGATCATCAGGCAATTACCAACTGGACGGTAGTTCTTTTGTGTCAGCTTCACAGAAAAATTGGTAAACTCATAGAACCTTTGCTCTTGGACTTGATATTCAAATTCCTTCATCTTATCTTTTGGGACACGCACCCATATATCATTTCCCTACCAAGGCATAACAAAATCTCAATCACTGACGAACTGGAAAAGTACCAAGCATAAATGGGATTAGAGCAGAACATTACCTCCGCATCTATAAAAACGACTTCCAAACAGATGACAGAATCGTTTTTAGAATTGTAAGGAATCCATTTCCTCGAGACACGAACACAGAGCTTGGGGTCTTTTTGATCAGTAGAAAGCTGAGCAATAGTGAGAGGAGGCATTTTGGTTCGGCTGGTGGGGGAAAGAAAAAAGAGTGGGTGGATGATTATATTGGGAGGAGGAGAAGAAAAAGGGAGGGAGTCTGACGAATCTACATGTTAACCGTTTTCTTTGAACTTATAGATCCCCACGTCATCATTTCTACTTGGTAAGTGGTTGTCGCGTCGATAACAGGGAGTAACCGTCCGCGACATCGCCGGCGGTTTAGAAGAGTGGGGAAAATGCTCCCTACAAAAACGGCAGAATCGAAAGGATAGGAAAATGGACGGTTGCTGCTCAAGAGAGTTTCCTGCTAGTTTGGTCTTTACTTTCTTATAAAATTAGGCTTCCCTAATTAACAATTCCAGGCAGGCGGCCCATTATATATAGTCTTGTTGAAAAGGGTCCAATTGTAACGGGCTTTGTCTAATACAACCATTAGATTGGTAACCGGGCCCATTGTTTTATTGAAATCCCTTGCGCACCACTGGTCTAATGTACATCCATCTTTTGGTGGCTGTTCACAATGGGATGTCCGGAATTGAACATTCGGCTCTTCACAAATTGATTAAGTATCTTACTACATGAAAGCAAAAGCAAAAGCAAAACCTGGGTAGAGAAAGACATGGAGCTGGAAGAAATAGATATCAACATGCTTCAATTAGCAAGAAAGGGTAAGCAAAACAAACCCAGCGTGATTGAAAACCACCACATATTACACAATTCCAGCTCCATGAAATGAGGTGATCATTTTTTGGGGAAAACATCATCCTTAATTAATCCAAATAATCAGTCTATGCCAGCCTGATTAATCATCTGTTGCTGCTTAGTATACTATTTTGAAAACCATTTTTGAGGTTGTAGAGAAGAAATTAGCATTAGGACATTTTTGCGCTAAAATTGTAGTTAAACCATGTGTAAATCATGTGATACAGCTAAAATCACCATAATGGCGTAATCTCAACTTTTCCGAGATGACGGTCAGTGTGATTTAACAATTTATAATTTTTTTGCCAATAGCTGAGGATCGGATTGGAACAAAGTGTCAATCTTGATTTTAACGACATGAACTATGATTTTAGCAGAAAGCAGTAGGGGTGGGCATCCGGTTCGGTTTTACCGAACCAAACCGAAGTCAAACCGACCGAAACCGAAATTCTCACTGTTCGGATCGGAAATCGGAAAGGAAATACTCTTAATTCGGAATACAGAGTATGCCAACCGAACCCGAAATTCCGAGTTCCGAACCGATAAACCGAAATTGCATACCCAACTACCACATCCTGCCAGGCCCAACAAATTAAAGAAGCCCAGCTGAGGGCCAAGCCCAGCAACCGAGATAAAAAAACCTAATCCTAATTCCATCTATGATCTATCTCTCCCTTTGTCTCTCCCTCTCGTCCGCCGCTCACCACAATCACCACTCACCACCACCGACCGTCTCTCACTCTCTCTCGATCACTCGAAACCTCAAACGGTGTACCCACTACCCAGCTCCTTCTTCATCGTGAAAAACGAACTCTGGTGTGGCATCTCGGCGGCGGCGCAATCGACAAGGAGAGGTGGTGCCGCGACGGGATCGGCAACAGAGACGACAGAATTAGCGGTGGTGGAGCCCCTGCATGCTCTCCCATGACTCTGTCTTCTCTTTGCCACTGCTTCCTCTTCATCAAAATGGGCGAGCGGCGAACTTAGTGCTCCTGATCTGGGGAGAAGGCGAGCCCGGTGACGGAGGGAGCTCATTGCGATCTGCGCGGCGGAGTGCTCTAGGCGGCGGAGTGCTTGGTAAGGGTGGATTGATGGCCTGTTGTTTTAGCAGAGAGAGAGATGGATGGATTGAAGAGGGTGATATGGGAGAGCATGCAGGGGTGAGGGATTAATTGATGGAGGAGAGAGTAGAAAGAGATTGGGGTGAGGGATTAAAGTGGGGCTCGTTTGAGATAAGGCAGCAGGTGATCATTTCGGTTTTGGGCAGTCAAACCGAACCGAACCGAGATATACTTCGGTTCGGTTGAACCGAACCGAATTATAGCTCGGTTCGAATTCGGTTGGGGTGCTGGGTACTTCGGAAATTCGGCATGTCCTGGTTCGGTTCGGTTCAAACCGAACCGACCGAACGCCCACCCCTAGAAAGCAGTGTAATGCAACCTTATGTATGGTTTTACAATTTTCGATTTTTCTGATAAGACCATCGGTATATTTTTACATTTTTTGGGATTTTTATGAACATACACCGAGTCTTAGGTTAGAGCAATGTATGAAGCCTGATTTTAACCATGGTTGAACTACAATTTTGACACAAAATACTCTAATACTAACTTTTCCTGTATGATCTTAGATACGTTTTGACAAATTTTTATTTTGCTTAACTTAAATCGATCCTTGAGTTGGACAAATGTTTTACGCTTGATTTAGCCACGGGTGAACTTAGATTTTAGCAAATAACCTCATAGTAAATCTATGGTATGGCCTTTCATCTAGTTTGACAATTTTGATTTTTTTGTGAGCATAAATCTAGGCTCGGACTCGAGCAACTTGTGAAGTCTGATTTAACAACGATTGAACTACGATTGTACTAAAATGTCGGTCCAATAACCCCAAAGCTTTTTTTCAAATTGGTAAGTGCTTTTAGCTATATGAAATAAGTTAACCACGGGTCAATTACAATTTTAGAACAAAATGACATAATGCTAACTTATCTGGTACAATAATTGATAGGTGTTTACATTTTTTGGTTTTTGTAATGGGACGGAGGAGTGCTTGGTTGATTCAAGGTATTGACTATTGAGCAATAGATAGCGGGCTAACTAATTTTCTTGACTAAAGGAGATGGGAATAGATACCCTTAATAGTGATACGCATCCAACAAAACAAATTGAAGTAGTCCATTCAAAAATGAAAGGATGTCTAAAAAGCATTTGCCAAAGACTCTCTGATAACTACTTTGTAAAATAGCTTTGAAGATATCTAAAAAGTAAGTATCAGAATTGAAAACTCAAAGAAAGTTGGTTCGCTAGCATTTGATGGAACAATAACTACCGTTTCAGCTGCAGAAAATAATTAATGTACTTTAAATTAAGCTTACGGGAAATGGTTGCAGATTAGCCATAAGTTCTGACACCCTATCTGCTTAACAACCATGTTGTAAAACAGCAGTCCAAATAAATAAGTGATTCTCCATTATAAACAAAGCTGCGGAAATCAGTTACAACTAATCTCTTGCACACTGGGTGCTTTAAAACCAAACCATGAAACTAAAAGGCTAAGCTCCAACAATCTGATCATCACAAATAACAGTAAAAAAGTACGGTGGAAGTAGTAAATAGAGCTGAAGGAAGAGAAATGCCTAGCCAACTGATAGAAACTATCATTTTAGTACTTTGATTATTTGTCGGTTTATTATTATTCAGATTATTGGGACTATTCGGGTATAATTGATAGATCGGGTAGTAGTAGGGAATTAGCCATTTTTATATAAACTACTTGTAAGTGAGATTTATGGTTAAGGAATAATTAAACCTAAACCTATTAGCCTAATCCCTCTCTCTCTCTCTCTCTCTCTTCCCTTCCTCTGTCGACCTCTTTCTTCCTTCCCTCTTCCCCTAGGCTGGCGGCAGCCACTTCCTTCCTCCTCTTCTCCTTGCTGCGCAGGCAGCAGCCTTTCCCCTTCCCCTTTTCATTCTCAAACAAACAAATCAATTCCCATTCCCAATTTCCAAATCCTCGGATCAATCCCTAGTTGATCCTAATCCCTAATTCGCAGGTAGAGCTCATCTTGAGTTCTATCAATTGGTATCAGAGCCCGGTTCTTGGGTTCGTGAGCAAATGAAGAGCGACGATCAAGATGGTGTCAACGAAGTCTATGCAAGCAGTTGAGAAGGCAGCTGATGCTCTAAAACACAACACCTAACAATGGCCAAGTGTAACCAATGAAAGGGACTGCAGTATAGTGGCACAAGTAATAAATATCGAATCCACGGGTCTCTAGAGTTACTATTACTCAGCTTCAGTTCATTATCTAGCAAACTAGATTAAGGATTGATTAACTAAACTACTCTACTAACTAAACTAAGTAAAACTACTAATTACAGTTTGGGAACTCACTTAGGTATGATTCCCCCTAGCTCCTCAATTAGGTCCAAGTTGTAATTCCTTTTGGTTGATTTACTGTTGATTAAACTGCGGAAGATCCGACAGTAGCTTGGAATCTCTTAAGCTGACCAAGCCCTCTCAGTCTAACTATCCGGCAGACGACTAGTCTTCACCGGGATAGAAAGCTGAAGCAATAAGCACAGAACTCCACTACTGGAATTGGATTCCAGTACAAAGCAGTAAACTGGCTAACTCTCGTATAGCCAATCTCCTACCACCGAATGATGAGACTCTAGCAACCTAATCAGATTCTATCTATCTCAGATTGCAGCAGGAATCAGGAAAAGTTGATCAGACTTCAATTGACTCAATAAACATGCATCATTCGATTATAATCAAACAATATAACATCCAAAACTTCATACAAGAAAGATCCTAACTCATGGAACTAAGGTTCCTCAAAACCTAAGTGAAGGGAAGTTACTCCATAGAGAAGAGAGAGACTGCAGAAATCTGATCTAGATCTTCAATCTCCATCTCCAAGCTTGATTCCCGAGCTCCAATGGCGAAGAAATCCTCCAAAATAGCTCCAAGAATGTTCCCAAGTCGCTCTCTCTCTCTAGGGTTCGTCCCTTGGGTGTTTGAGATCCAAAACCCAGCTCTCTCTCTCCTTTGGCTCGAATTTGGGTTAAAAACAGCCATTCCCGACTCGCACAGCCAGGGTGCACGGCCGTGCACATCACCATTCTGGCCGTGCACCTCAAAACGCGGCGTATCAATTAGTTGAACCTCAGCCAACTCGCACGGCCAGAATTGTATGTTGCACGGCCGTGCGGATTTCACTTGTGCCCGTGCGTGCCCACGCACAATCCCGCACGGCCAAACTGGTCACTTGCACGGCCGTGCGTGGCCACGCACAATCCCGTGCGTGCCCACGCACGATCCCGCACGGCCAAACTGGTCACTTGCACGGCCGTGCGGGTTGTGGGTGTGCCCGTGCGACTTCCTCAGAACCTCGCCATGCGTCCGATCCTCGTCCAATCGACCCCAGACTCGCTCCTAAGCCTTCATTCACGTCCTAGGACCTGAAATATCACAAACAAGCACAACCTACCGTGAAATCGGCCTAAAACACGAGAATCAACACCTCAAACGGTGTAAGAATGGGGGTAAAAACATGTGTAAATGACGGTCTATCAGCAGCCAAGGCGGTGCAGGAGCTGGCCGGGATCGCGGCCACAACGGGGCTGCCAGTGACCAACTAGGAGGCGCCGACTAGGGCTCAACCCGTAGCCAAGGCTCCGCAAGGGCGTCCACCTATCCCTGCTCCACGAGGTCCGGTGGATGGCGAGTTGGAGGACCTGACTGAACGGGAGGCGGCGCAACACCGCCTCGACGCCCTCGTGGATCTAGTAGCGAGTGAACGACAGAAAAGGCTGGAGGAGTCACGGCGGGTGTGGAACCGACTCGATGCTCTCCACGACATGATGGTGGAGATGCGGGGTGGGTTGGCGGCGCGCATGGAGGCCACGGCTCTCTTTAGCGGCGGCGAAATCGGCGCGGGCAGCGGCGCTGGGACGGCCGACAGGTCAGCGAGGGGCGACGGCGTGGGCGGCGGGTCCGCAGTTGGTGGGGCGGCGCCGGTGGCCGCGGTGGGCGGGGCGGCCGCGGTGGCCGCGCCACTGGTGGTGATGGAGGCGACGTCGGTGGTGAGTGGCCCGGCCATGCCAGGAGCGGATGTCTCGAGCCTCGTGCGGGGGAAAGACATGTAAGGGGGCTGGAGGTAGTAGGTGGAAATTGGGAACGAATTCCCGTCTCCCCTTACACACTTTCGCCCTATTCGCACGGGAGACGTTATTTTGAAGCACATTTTCGAGCACCTGTTAAACTCAAAACATGATACAAGAGTCCATGACAGGTAGAGAATCCACAACACCACACAATTCAAGGGTCCTAAGATCACTAATTCACTCAATCAACCAACACAATATGAAGAAGCAATGAGACTTCTTAAATGCATCAACATCCTCCATAGTGCTACACTACCTCCCTAGGTTGCATATTACTATAAAGACTGTCAATTCAAAGCATACTGAGCAGGCAATTGCAAGGAACACGTACTTGGAGCCCTCAAATTTCAAAATTTGGACAGTGGACTAGGCTCCAAGCACACAAACAACCAACCTGCTCTTACCGGCCATGCTAGGAGCGGATGTCTCGAGCCTCGTGCGGGGGAAAGACATGTAAGGGGGCTGGAGGTAGTAGGTGGAAATTGGGAACGAATTCCCGTCTCCCCTTACACACTTTCGCCCTATTCGCACGGGAGACGTTATTTTGAAGCACATTTTCGAGCACCTGTTAAACTCAAAACATGATACAAGAGTCCATGACAGGTAGAGAATCCACAACACCACACAATTCAAGGGTCCTAAGATCACTAATTCACTCAATCAACCAACACAATATGAAGAAGCAATGAGACTTCTTAAATGCATCAACATCCTCCATAGTGCTACACTACCTCCCTAGGTTGCATATTACTATAAAGACTGTCAATTCAAAGCATACTGAGCAGGCAATTGCAAGGAACACGTACTTGGAGCCCTCAAATTTCAAAATTTGGACAGTGGACTAGGCTCCAAGCACACAAACAACCAACCTGCTCTTACCGGCCATGCCAGGAGCGGATGTCTCGAGCCTCGTGCGGTGAAAGACATGTAAGGGGGCTGGAGGTAGTAGGTGGAAATTGGGAACGAATTCCCGTCTCCCCTTACACACTTTCGCCCTATTCGCACGGGAGACGTTATTTTGAAGCACATTTTCGAGCACCTGTTAAACTCAAAACATGATACAAGAGTCCATGACAGGTAGAGAATCCACAACACCACACAATTCAAGGGTCCTAAGATCACTAATTCACTCAATCAACCAACACAATATGAAGAAGCAATGAGACTTCTTAAATGCATCAACATCCTCCATAGTGCTAAACTACCTCCCTAGGTTGCATATTACTATAAAGACTGTCAATTCAAAGCATACTGAGCAGGCAATTGCAAGGAACACGTACTTGGAGCCCTCAAATTTCAAAATTTGGACAGTGGACTAGGCTCCAAGCACACAAACAACCAACCTGCTCTTACCGGCCATGCCAGGAGCGGATGTCTCGAGCCTCGTGCGGGGGAAAGACATGTAAGGGGGCTGGAGGTAGTAGGTGGAAATTGGGAACGAATTCCCGTCTCCCCTTACACACTTTCGCCCTATTCGCACGGGAGACGTTATTTTGAAGCACATTTTCGAGCACCTGTTAAACTCAAAACATGATACAAGAGTCCATGACAGGTAGAGAATCCACAACACCACACAATTCAAGGGTCCTAAGATCACTAATTCACTCAATCAACCAACACAATATGAAGAAGCAATGAGACTTCTTAAATGCATCAACATCCTCCATAGTGCTACACTACCTCCCTAGGTTGCATATTACTATAAAGACTGTCAATTCAAAGCATACTGAGCAGGCAATTGCAAGGAACACGTACTTGGAGCCCTCAAATTTCAAAATTTGGACAGTGGACTAGGCTCCAAGCACACAAACAACCAACCTGCTCTTACCGGCCATGCCAGGAGCGGATGTCTCGAGCCTCGTGCGGGGGAAAGACATGTAAGGGGGCTGGAGGTAGTAGGTGGAAATTGGGAACGAATTCCCGATTCGCACGGGAGACGTTATTTTGAAGCACATTTTCGAGCACCTGTTAAACTCAAAACATGATACAAGAGTCCATGACAGGTAGAGAATCCACAACACCACACAATTCAAGGGTCCTAAGATCACTAATTCACTCAATCAACCAACACAATATGAAGAAGCAATGAGACTTCTTAAATGCATCAACATCCTCCATAGTGCTACACTACCTCCCTAGGTTGCATATTACTATAAAGACTGTCAATTCAAAGCATACTGAGCAGGCAATTGCAAGGAACACGTACTTGGAGCCCTCAAATTTCAAAATTTGGACAGTGGACTAGGCTCCAAGCACACAAACAACCAACCTGCTCTTACCGGCCATGCCAGGAGCGGATGTCTCGAGCCTCGTGCGGGGGAAAGACATGTAAGGGGGCTGGAGGTAGTAGGTGGAAATTGGGAACGAATTCCCGTCTCCCCTTACACACTTTCGCCCTATTCGCACGGGAGACGTTATTTTGAAGCACATTTTCGAGCACCTGTTAAACTCAAAACATGATACAAGAGTCCATGACAGGTAGAGAATCCACAACACCACACAATTCAAGGGTCCTAAGATCACTAATTCACTCAATCAACCAACACAATATGAAGAAGCAATGAGACTTCTTAAATGCATCAACATCCTCCATAGTGCTACACTACCTCCCTAGGTTGCATATTACTATAAAGACTGTCAATTCAAAGCATACTGAGCAGGCAATTGCAAGGAACACGTACTTGGAGCCCTCAAATTTCAAAATTTGGACAGTGGACTAGGCTCCAAGCACACAAACAACCAAACATTCACCCGCATAAATAATCGAACACCCCCCCCCCCACACTTAAGCACGACATTGTCCTCAATGGAGGAAAGATAAGGAGGGTAGAACGAAGTTACCAGATCAAGGGTGAATGATGATGAACGGGTCAGGCGGTGCATCCCAGAAAGAGAGAGTAATCAGAACACAAACACCACACAAAATCTCACAAAGGTTGAGTTATTGACTCTAAAATCAAATAATAAAACTGACTCAACCGAGGATAAATAGAGAAAGAAATGCAAACCGACTGGTTGGGTTGCCTCCCAACAAGCGCTTCTTTCACGTCGTGAGCCGGACGATGGCTCCTAAGTTTCGGTCCATGCTAGAACCTCCTTGAAGTTGAGGTTCTCGTCGATGAGGTGGAGTCTCAAGTCACGAGCATGTGGTGTGGCAGGTGAGGAAGGCTCATGTACTTGATGCAGATGAAGTCTCCACCCTAGAGACCTCTTCTTCTCTTCTCTCGTCTCATTGCCCCAAACCAGATATGACAGCATCGATTGGCCACCATCGCGTCCACCAAGAGGGACCGATGTCGATGTGGCCTTGGTCTGGCAAAGAGACATTGCAAATGGGTCCTTGCCAAGCAGCTCCTCGAAGTTTGGTGGAGATATCACATGTAACTCATGGCCGGTGCAGGCCTCTTCCACCTTAACTCCGTCCTCAGCCTGGACGCCAATTGCTTCTTCAACCTCCCTTTCTTCTTCATGTGGTATCACCCCTGGGAAAAGATCAAGAACTCCTCCTGCTTCACTTTCTTCATCCTCCACAACTTCTTTCTGCACCCTTTCTCGCTCTTCTTCTTCTAGCACGGATTGGAGAGCAAGTTGCCAAGCAATTTCTTTCATGAGATTTTCTTGCATCTCCTCACTCATGCCCGCCTCTTCAAAGCTCAGTTTGGGATGTGGGAAGGTGTGGTCGGCTACGGCAGGAAATTCCTGATCATGATCATCACGAGAGCTTTTCGTGAAAACTTCTGCCTGCTCCACAATATCCTTGTAGCCTTCGTCTTCCTCCTCCTCTTCTAGTATGATAGCAGAAGGGTGATCTTGAGCAGGTTGTGCATAAGCTTTCTCAAGATCCTCGAGGCTCTTCTTTATGCTCAGGAGGGTCTCCTCTGTTTCACGGTAGGAGAACCCATTTTGGGCATTGTCTGGGATATCCATCTTTGGAAAGGATGTCTCAGGTACTCGAGCAATCTGGTCCACGAGAAGCCTCAAGTGATAGTTTGGATCTGGCTGATGGAGGAATTCTTCTTGATAAGGAGATTGTTCTTGAAATACCCAGGGGTCTGATTGTTCTTCGTAGGATGGGGGTTGGTACTGAAACCCGAATCCATAGTCTTCTCCTCCTTGATTGCTCCAGGGGGTCTCGGGGTAATACCACTCGGATGGTGGTGGATACCCCCAATGGTTGGAGAAGCCATGAGGATCCATGATTCAGATCTGCACCAACAAAAACAAAAAACACCCAAGTGAAAAGCAAGGGTGGAAAAGAAAAGAAAAGAAAAACGCTAAAGTAACAAACTTCTGCCTTTCCTAATACTCTAGAAAGTCCCCGGCAACGGCGCCAAAAACTTGATGCTCTAAAACACAACACCTAACAATGGCCAAGTGTAACCAATGAAAGGGACTGCAGTATAGTGGCACAAGTAATAAATATCGAATCCACGGGTCTCTAGAGTTACTATTACTCAGCTTCAGTTCATTATCTAGCAAACTAGATTAAGGATTGATTAACTAAACTACTCTACTAACTAAACTAAGTAAAACTACTAATTACAGTTTGGGAACTCACTTAGGTATGATTCCCCCTAGCTCCTCAATTAGGTCCAAGTTGTAATTCCTTTTGGTTGATTTACTGTTGATTAAACTGCGGAAGATCCGACAGTAGCTTGGAATCTCTTAAGCTGACCAAGCCCTCTCAGTCTAACTATCCGGCAGACGACTAGTCTTCACCGGGATAGAAAGC